ACTCACAGATAGGCTTACAATTTCAGCATCTCTGCATATCACCACAATTCCTCTCTTCTGACTGAGCAGCTTTATTACCATAGGGGCAAAATCACGTTACTGACACATTGCTGAAAAGAATTAGATGTTTTACTTCAATCACCTCCATGGACAGAAAGACATTTCAGTCTCAAGATCAAGTCAGAAGATTGAGTAGGTCTTATATCATTCCAAGCATCATTTGCGTTTGTGAATTTCCTTTTCTTGTATCAATGGTTTTGATTAGGAATTGTTTTCTTTCACAAGCAGATTTTGCTTTCTTTTTATATTTCAACTTTTTTCTGAATATAGCTCCCCAGTAAATTTGTCTGATATGATACAGCACATTCAGAAACAGAACTTGGCTCTAGCAACCTAACTACCAGCATTTTCTAGCTTTCAGTGTTAGATGAATAAATACTCTCTTGAATACTATTATTCAACTGTATGTTAGTATACAAATAGCCCAGAGAGGTTTCAGCACACTTCAAAGTTACTCAGAATTACAGACTGTCTTGTTGCTTATTCACTTGTCAAGTATGTCATTGCTTCTGTCAAGACATGCTTTGGAAATGAAATAGATACTTAGCAGAAAAGTTTTAACAATTGCCTTACCATTTTTAACAAGTTAAAATGATGTTGTTGAGTCAACTTTTATTGAGTTTATCCTTTTTTTACATTGCAATTGCTTGTAAATCTTTTCTTCAGCCTCGAGAAGGCAATTTTGATTTTCTTCTGTCTGGTGAAACTGCTCTTTCCTGGCTCATATTACAGAATCAGCACTGTTTTTAGCTTAAAACACGCTGTATTTTGAGTCTCTGATTACTGTGACAGAACTATTGTAACAGTAACAACAGTGTTATTGTGAGAACAATCGTCTTCAGTCTGAATTGTCTCCAAAGTTAGCTTGGCCCAACCTGAATGAGGTGAAAGAGAGGCAAAGAAGGCCATGGGTTACTCCACACCTCTCAGAGTCCAGAAAAAATGAGCGGTCCAAGAACAGCTTGAGAAGCCTGAAAGAAATACACAAGCACGTGCTGTGCTGTGATGGCTCTTCTACATATGAGCTCTCAGCACTCCTTTTCTCTCTTCAATCTAGAGTGGTCACGCTCCTGCAAATCTCTGCATCAGACACTTTGTACAGGTGATACAACCACAGCTCTTCCTACCAGCCAAGTGCCTAAGATAGTGAGATACACAGGCTCCAGTGTCAAACATGGGCTGTGCTGAAAGCAGGATCTAGTCCAATATAGCATCAGTGGCATCCTCCAGAGTTCAGCAGCAAAAATATAAAAAGCACATGAGAGCTCTACAAGGAATTCAGCTGAATCAGACTTGTTTGGATCTATCAACAGTGGCATTTGAGCCACTCTGGTGACAATATGGATGCACACTCATACTGCTGTCTCTAAGGGCACAGGATGCCTCAAGAAGTTTCCAAGAACCCATCTACTGAGAACTTGCCAAGCTAAACAACACAGGTTCCTAGAAAGTCTCACAATAAAACAGGCCAGCAGTAGCATGGACACAGAGCAAACGTGCTTCGAACAAATCAGCACAGATAGCGCAACATGCTGAAGATTGCCACATGTGTCGATTTTGTCAGGCTGGCTGAAATTCAAGTCATTTAGTTTCTCTGGTCTAAGTGTACTGTGCACACTGATACACATTCACTCACACACTTACTTAGTACACTGCTAGTATAGAACCAAGATGGCCACACTGGTATCCCAGATCCTGCATGTATCCCTGTGAATCTAAGAGATCTTGGCAAAACTGTAAATACCAAAAAAAACCCAAATGAAACCAAACCAAACCAACAAAAAAACCCCCAAAAAACCAAAGAACACCAAAAACAGAGGGGAAAAAAGAGGAGGAAAAAAGAGAAGAAAAAAAGGAAGGAAAAAGTGAAAGCTATATTAACAACATCAAGTTAAACTAGCTGAAGTAAGTTAGATGTTGAAGATGCTTTGTAACTTCCTCTTAACATGAGAGCTTCAATTCAGCCTGGATTTTGAAAATGGTGCCCCAACTTACATCAGTAATAGTCACACATGGAAAAGCAGGTTTCAAACTGTCTTACTACCACACAAAATACACAAGTCACATAACTATGTTTTCTCTTCCATTTTATTTTCAAAATATTTACAGACCATTCCCTAAGCTCTGAAGTCAATGCATAAAATACACTGTCTTTTCAAAGCTATAATCATTCTGCAAGGTTAAAGAAATTCTCTAGCAAAAAAAGTAAAGGAATTTGTGTAGGCTTACAAACAAGAAACACTTTTTTTCTTCCTAATTTCATTCTATGCTAGACACCACAGTACCCAGAATTTCAAGAGAAAGCACTGGTAACAATCAGAAATTAGCAGCAATTCACATTGCACAATCTCTTCAATATTCCTGAGTTTTAGTCCTTCTGTCTTACAGAAGAACAGCTGTAAAATTATCTTTTATTTCTTTCGTATAATTTCCATAGCATATTGTTGTCATCTATTAAAATCATTTAATGCACATATACACACAAACAATTTACTTTTTTTTTAGCTTGCAAGCATAGCAAACAGCCCGTAACATTACAGTAAAAGACAAAATATTTCTTTCTTGCTTCCTACCATATCCTTTACTTCTTGGTAAAAGAGGAAGAAAGGAGATAACAAAAATTGTAATGTTTCCTCTTCATACCCACAACCACAATTGATTATGTACAGTACACAACTTAGTGTGACATATATCTAACCCAAAAGACCTTACCTTTGCACCCTTCCAGCATAATGGTTCTCCTTCTCAGTAAGACTACAGTCCCACCAGCCACATTAACACCAGTGCAGGAATGTTTATAGATTTAGCATAAAAAAATTTTTAAGAAAAGAGATACTGCCATCACTTCACACTGGAAGAACTGAATGCTTACATAAATGGATCTGTGGATATAGAGAAATACTGTCTGAGAAGAGATAAAGGAGAGTTGTGAAAATATTTAGGTCTCTCTATTTTATTGGGTGCAGGAGTTAATTTAGAACTAACTTATGCTGGTTATTTCTAAATGCTACAGCACAAACATTTATTTTTCTTTTGAAATTATTTGAGAAGAAGACACTATTGGGATATGTGATATTAAAAGAAGTTCATTTGCCAAAAGTTCCTTGAATACCTGAGGTAACTCCTATTTCCAGGCAAACTGGAAAACAGAAAAAATATAAGAATGTGAAGCTGAAAGAGTGCAAAGGGAAAATAACTTACATTATTTTAACCTTTATTAAAGTCACCGCAGAAAGCCACTTGCTTAAATTCTGATAAATTTTATATTGAACTGCATTGATAAAATATGACTTTATGTAACGTATGTGAAGTATTACATAAAATTACAGAGATTTACATCCAGTACATGAAAATATGTAAAGCTTGTAAAGTATGCGCACACTTAATATGTGCACCAAAAACTGACATTACAGCACAAATCAGCATGCCATGCTAGCTTTAAGAGTCACTTGTCATAGCTGTAGTGACACCACAGGACGGAGAGCAGAGAGGACTAGTTATTTCTAGTCCATAAAAGGAACTGTTCTCTCCACAGTGGTAAAAGCAAAAAGAATTTTAGGTCATCAGCAAAGCACAAGTTTATTGTTTTAGGGCTACAGGTTCAGTTGCAATGTAGATACATGCTCAAAAGGATGACACTTGTCTTCTGAAAAGATTCTCCGGATGCACTCAATGGTTTGGGAACAACCCAAGTGACAAGAAGGCAGCAGACAACTGTTTGTGTTCCTACCAAACAGAATTCATAGTGAGGGACCAGTCTGAGGTCTCACAAGCTCAGGACAAACACTCAGCAGGTGCACGTAGCCATGACCAGTCACATCCAGTTTTGCCTCTTGCTATGAAGGCTCATTTCTAAGGGCAGCTGATGGCTAATAATGAACTGGAAGAAACTGGGCAGCTTTTAAAGAGAAACTTCAGGATTTGATATTACTCCACGGTAATCTAGAACAAAACGATTCCTCTACCTTCTAATGTCGATTTAGGAACCTGGATGCTAGTAACCCACACAACTTTAAAAAAATGACTGGACAAATAAAGGTAGGGGGAAAAAAGGCTTTGGGGGCTCATAAAAGATGAAGGCAACAACTCCAGCACAAAATGTTGTCAAGGTACACGTTTTTGCAGGGTGAAAATGGATGTGTGGAGGTATCGCTACATGATGTCTTCCATGCTCTTTCCTAGGCATTATTGACTGCTACTACTGTAATTAAGCAGACAAATCTCTCCACAGATAATTGTGAGCCATATAAATAAGAAAGAGCCTATCCATCTGTTAATCCTCTCCACATCTGCATGGAGATAAATTTCCTGCACTAAGTCAAGTTAAGGCATCAGCTCAAATTCTGGCAGCACTCCGCTATTGATTTCTTTTGAATTTCAGCCATACATCTCCCACATCCCTCCCCTACATCACTAGGTCACCGCCTGGAGATCTCTGACAGACAGGGCGCGGAGCCAGCTGGACCAGCAGTCCCAGCTATGGTGCTCACCCTTACCAGATCCCTGTTGGCACAGGCACTTGGCCCAGCTTTCTTCTAAAAACTGCTAAGGAATGAGGTGTTGCACTGCAGCACGATGTGCTGTCGCATCACGATGTTATCGTTATTAGTGGCAAAAGGTTAATATTGGCTACTCTGGGCTCCTGCACGTTCGTCTGAACGAACAGAAGTGCTCGTCGCTGCTTTAGGAAGACGCAAAGGCAACTTCTGACAGACCGAGGAACATGAACTTTCCGTCATGTTGCGAACTGAGAGAGCTGAGGGGCAGCGACGAAACCCGCAAGGAGCTGCGGCCCCAGCACCCCCTGACGACGCCCTCCAGACTCGTCGCGACAAGAACCGTCCCGCAGGGATGAGCGCGGTACCCGCGGAGGGCTCCGAGGGCCCCGACAGGAGCCCCGACAGTCCCCAGGGGCTGCCCCCTCCCCGCTCGCCCCTTACCATCTGGGCCACCTTCAGCATGCCGGCGCAGGAGCGGAAATAGGCGCCGTCCATGAGCTCCACGTCCGAGCCCGCCGAGGAGGAGGCGACGGTGACGGCCGACGGGGCCGCGGGGCCCCCGCTGCTCACCCCGGTGCGGATCACCCGTGCCCCGTGAGACATGGCTCCGTCCAAGCTGCTCTCGCCGCTGCCCGTCCCGGGACAGGGGAACGGGACGGGATGGGATGGGACGGGGCGGGGCTGGGCGGGACGGCGGCGCCCCCGGGGCTGCTGCCAGGGGCCGGGCGGAGGCGGCGCGTTCCCGCCCGCCCGCGCTCCCCGCCCGGGGCGGCCGTGGGGCGGGGAGGGAGAGAGGGAGTCTCGGGGGTTTTCTGCCTGCGGTGGTTTCTTTCCCGCGGGGGAGACGCTGCCGCACCCCTCTGGGGGAAGCGGGGTCCGGGACGAAGCCCGGCAATTGGGAGCAGACGAAGGGACGCTCCCCCCGCGCCGCTCCGGAGCGGCAGCCCCGGCGCGACGCCCGGCGGCCCCCCAGTGCAGGGGGTGACATGGAAACAGAAGGGAAGGTTTCCAGGCAGGAAGGGGGGCGCCTCGCGGTACAGCGCGGGGTCCCGGAGGGGGGCTCCGCAGAGAACCGGCCACCGCAGCGGCGAGCAGCTTTCCTGGGATCCTAAAACACCCCCTCGGCATGTCGAAGTTTGACAGCGATGCTCCTGGAGGGGACCTACTCCGGTGCTTCGCTGTAGAGGTGCAGCTGCAAACAGCATTTATTCTTTCAAACAAACAACCCAAACCTTCTGATTCCCGATCTTCTAGAAGATAAAAACCATTTGCATTAAATGGACAGTCATTACAGTTTTCTCTGTTGCTGCCCAAGTGTCTCAGCCCCATTGTTTGAATTGAATCATGCAGAGATACTAACAAAACGCAGAAAAGGAAGCTAAATATTTCCTGAAGTTTAAAAATAACTTGTTCTACTTTCTGACAAGTGAGGTAATAGTGGGCCTCTGAGCTGGGTATATGCCACTTTTATACTCACTGGAGTAGTAACTCCATCTTCTGCTGCTCTGTTTTAAAGTTAGGATGCACATTCTGTTCGTATTTAGTATTTAATAGCTCCTTCAGCAACTAAAATTGTTCTAGGAGGGAAGAGAGGCAAGTCCAGATGATCGCCACCACAAATAAGGGGCTAGTGTAAGCAATTTACATAACCAGGATGGGTTTGCCAGGCCAATAGTCCGTAGTAGATTAAGTAGTACATAATTTTGGACTTCTATTAAGCCAGCTAGTAGTTGCAATAAAAGTTATTACTTATCCCACTTCATTTGTCTCACTTCATGAGATATCAAATCTACAACACTGGCTACCTCCACAAGAGTAAAATGCTAGCTGCCAAGAAAAAAGATTTTGTTCTGTTTTTAAACAGCTGCCTTTTTTTCCCCCCTCTTCTCCTTAGAGTTCCTATTCAGAAGTGTGCATGGTTATAGGTTTCTAAAAGCCCTGTGGAGGAAGGTTCTCGTAACTTCTGCACTTCCTATTAAGAAATATGGGTTTTTTAACTTCTCATTCAGCTTCTTTAGTTCTTTATTTCTTTTGAAACCGTGTATGTGACTGGGGCCCCGCTAATTCGAGTTCAGCCCAGTGAAACAGAAATACCTTTAAATTAATACAAGTAGAATAACAGTCATATTTTCTACTCAGCAATATAGGCATCTTCCATGAACCACTGGGACAAAGTCAATCTGCAATACCATTACATTTGAAGTTTTTATTTTAGTTCTCATGCTATTTACTTTGTATTGTTAAGTGCATTATGTATGATAATGAAAAAAAGGTACTGACAACTCCTTAATAAATGAAAATTAATGGCCAAAGTTGACATCGAGTATCCTTATGTATGTAGGTGACTTAGAGTTTTCAGAGAGACTGTCTGAAAGAAGTTATTTATAATGTTAAATACCTTCATTTTGCAAGTTGATTAACATTTTGTTTATTCTTCTAAATATCTGTATTAAGAATTTCACTAATGACTTCATCACTTACCAGTTGTTCTTTTAAGGTTTCTTTCAATCTTATGAGTACTAACCTATGCTCATAGATACAAATGTTGTTTTAATTGTTATATGATAAACCACAGCTAGCTTGTCTTCTTTATCAATTTTAGAATATACAATGCATTAAGTCATAGTTTGCAAATCAATATTTAAGACTAATGCACTGGAAGATAACCTTTTGGGCCTTTCTTCAGGCCTGAAATAGGAGGAGCAAACTTCAGGAGGAATGCTCAGTTTGTACAGATTCCTTCAATTTTAACTAGATATTCAGAACACTTGAAAAACAGGTTGGTATCTGGGCAACAGATGAGAAATGAGACAGACGAGAAAGAGCATGGGAAGTAAAATACTTATCTTTCTAAAAGGAAAGAGCAAGGCAGGTAAGTTATGGTTTGGGGGGAAAAAAAAGCAAGGCCAAGCGCAAAGCAAATTTTTGTCTAGTATGTATTTTTTAAATTCAGAATTAAAGATTCAACTCACAGATTTGTCTTTGGAAGTCATTCTGCACATATCCCCTTGAGGTTCAGTGCTGAAGACTCAGAGAGCAGGTAGGTATTTTGCCAGAATCATTCCTTATCTGGTTTTGTCCTTCACTAATGGGTTTATTCTGACATGTAATACACAGTTTCCATGACAGTTTTAGATAAACTGGATGAAACATAGAACTTCCTCTTAGTTCTACACCCTTTTGCTACTTCTGTCCACAAATGATGTCTGGGTTCTAATTTTAGACCAGAATATTACAGATACCACAAAATCATGAAATGCTTGTGCAAACATAGTCACATCCTTTGGACTTAAAACAAATACATCAGATATCATTTAAGAAAGTATTTCTATTACTACTGAAGCATTTTTACTGATGAGATTTTAATTCTGGCTATATTTCTAGTCACATTTTATCAGTTGATATTTAGATCATTTCAATGCCTCTGATTTTTTTTTCCAGCAATGGAAAAAAAAAATATGAGATTTTAATGACACATTTTATCTGTGTAGATAAAATGCATAGTCAGTAGCCATTCTTCCTTCTGACAACTGGATAATTTTAGCAAGCAGCAGACAGCCTGACCTATGTCACGCAGGCCAAATGCAATTTGCAGACAAATAGAGATTTTCGAATAATATTTTGGCTTCCCTTACACTGAAATCCTATGACTCCAACAGACAATCAACAACAAAACCATGTGATCGAGAACAGCATTAGCTGGCTGCTGATAAATCTTCCTCTGCAAGGCACATATGTAAATAACCACACCCCATTTAGTTACAAGGGAAATAGAGGGGTTTTTAGGCAGTAAGGTTTCTCTACTACCATATATAATCATCCAAGTAAGTTCTTGAAAACTGGAAGACAGCCCAAATCTTCTTAATCCAGGAATAAAAGATTCACTATTAGTTTCAAATGAGGAAAACTTTAAATAACATCACAAAATAACCACAACCTTACATTCTCCACATAATTCCTGGAAAAAAATCCTTAGGTAATTTGTATTTGAAAGTAATTTTCAAAGGTATCTGTTTTGAAAGCCATAATCTCCTGTCATACTCCTGCTTGATACAAAGATATTTAAATGTGAGCCTCAACTTCATTTGTTAAACTAACAAGTTGCAGATGATGCCAGAAGACAGGAAAGGAGGGAGGAATTTCTTTGTTTCTAGCACTGGTACCTTCACAATTCTTCTATGGATTTAACTTTATATAATTTAATATGATTTAGAAGCCCAGATTTGAATTACAACAGATAAATGGCCTATTCTGAGGAGAAAAAAAGTACTACCTTTAGCCAGCGATTTGTGATACTCTCAGTTGTTTAAGGACTGAGCACTAAGGGACTGTCGGATCTGAGAAACCTGTTAGGATAATGTGTTTCAGGCACAATATATGTTCAACGAGCTTCAGACCTACAGTAGCAGGTTCCAGAAGCAAACTCATAATGTGAGAAGCTCTTAGAATATGCAAACTGACAGGATTATCTGAATTTCTTAGTAGTATGTATTATAATCTGAAAAAGAAATTAAAAAAGCAACCTTCTACTCCCAATTTACAAAACACGCACAGTTGGGTCATTTGTTTATTTATTTTTAAAGTTTCAAATGCTTTTTTTCTACACAATGACACTTTTTATACATAATAATGAGACAATATCAATCTTAAGTTTTGATTTGTATCACTCAGTATCAAAAGAATACCTGTAACATTTAAAAAGTTACATTTACAAACTTGGCACATTGAATAAGATTTATTAAAGGTTTAGTAGTGACAACTATACAATGTCTAGAAAAATACCATGTTAATTTTAAAAGAAGCAGTATGAAATTTTATTATACAGTAAAAAGTCAGTGTTAGATGTCTCTAAAGATGGCATTATTATAAATAATCATTTCATCTCAGTTTGTAGTTTGTCAATTCTAACAGAAATGTTCAAAAATGCCTCACCCCTCTTCCAAGCTTTTATCAAAAGTGAATAATCCTCAAGATATTTTATATTACAAAATTCATTTTAACAAAATATTTACTGCAAAGTCCGTGATCGCCAGGATATAAGGCTAAAATACGTATTTCCAGCATAGCAGGAGGTAACCACGAAGGCAAAGAACTGTAGAGAAAGGAAGAAAAATATATCAGGGGAAAAAAAATAAATTTGAGAGCACTGTCATTTCTAAGGAAAAAAAATAGTTATGGGATTTGGAACAAGGAAAATAGCAGGCTGACTAAAATGGCACATGCTCACCTCCTTGTACTTGTGTGGCCATCACACTCAACACTGTGTAAATAAGCTTATATTATGCATAGAAATATGGGCCTATAAGCAGACAAAACATGGCATATTTCAACTTTTTTATAAACTCCACATTACACTGCCTCAGTATGGAACTTATAGACTGGACTGCCACCACTCCTATATTTGCTGCTTTTAAAACCTGAGGGATAGTTCATGGGACAGTGCAAGCTCAAGCTAACACTTCTGTCCTGCTGCTATGTTCCAGGAATTCCTTACAGCCCACCTGTACCTCAGTATGGCATGCTGTGCATCAAAACAGGTTTGTTTACAGAGAAAACTTGGATTCAAGTTGAGGCCCTGACATGTTCTCAAAGAGGACTACTTATTACATTGCCAATTCCAGAGGTCCTCCACTGATGAATAAAGGCATTCCTCAG